GCTTTTTGAATTTCCTTTCTTTAATTTAATTATATTTTGAAAAGGAAAAAGGAGGAATTAAGAGGGGCCAAAGGAGGTGAACTTGAGAGATCTTCACCTGTTTTTGTTTAATTCCCAATCAAAATACATTTTGATAACTGTGCAGTACCTTGTCCAGAAGGAATTAAATATTCATCAAGGAAAGAGAGGAGTGGGGCTGGGGGGGTCTTGATTTTCTTGACCTAGCCTTTTAGCCAACTAGAGTATGATCCGTGAATTGCACTGGAGTCAAATATAAGATGCTCACGCATGTAGTTGGTTTAGAGTTTATATCTTTACAATTTACATAAATAATTTTAAATTTTTTTATAAATATTGTTTAATCTTTGTAATTACGTTTTGAAGCGGATACGTGATTAAGCGAGGAAAACCCTTTTAATTATGTTATAGATATCTAATCACATCTACAAGCTTAGTGCTTTTCCAAAAATGTTGGACATGCTCTTATTTTATTTTCAAGACTATTCTTTTAAAACTCTACAAGAGAATTTAAATACATGAACAAATTGAACATTATAATGTATGGGTTTTTTAATTTAAGATCTTATTTTATTTATGAAATATATGATATGATTATTAGAATATATGATAATACTATTCATATAAATATATATTTTTTTGAAATTGTGGAAGAATTATACTAGTAATTGAGGTTTATTAAATAGAGAGTTATATAATCCTTCTTGACCATATACTATTGAGGTATGGAGAAAATCTTTTTAAATGATATTATTACAAATGTTAGATTTATATTTGTTATGTATAGTTATAATTGAATCAATATTTTTCAAACCTTAACAAAATTGAAAAATTATGAATTAATTCTAATAAATTGTCAAACATTTCACGATATAAATAATTTCTTGACATAATACTTTAAAAAATTATGAACTATTCAAAAAATTTTAAATAAACAAAGAACAATTATGAACTATTTAAGAAATTTCAAATAAGAAGTGGGATAAATCTTTCGTTTAACCAAAAAGCGTATTTCAAACAAGACTAAAAGAAAAATTAGGTTGTACAAATCAACCAAAGAATGCTAAGTAGACAATAAGATTGTAAAATTTTTAAATTTTACAAACGAGTTAAAGGTTTGTTAAATATTTGATTAAAATGTAATTAAGTAAATTTAATAAATTAAATCACCAAATGACAAGCACGTTAACTATATAAACTCATTTATGAAATTCTACTGGCTATAAGTAAAATAATTTCTCACATTAAAAATTGATTTAAGTAATTTATCAAGTAAGATATTCGTTATTTTTGAAATACCCTAATTTGAATTCAATTATTTGATAAGATATTTGGTAAACCCTATAAATGCCCAATTAAATTTTAAAATTGTTACTCGAACTTTTGTTCGAATATTTTATACACTACTAATTAAATATTAAATTAAAATAAATTTAAAATCAATTTTATTTATATTATTAATGAAAAAAATCCATAAATTAAAGTTAGTTTCTGAAAAAATAAATTAAAGTTTAATATCATATTTATTACAACAAATGAATTTTCTAAGCATTTCATAATTATAAGAAATTTATAAATAAAAACTTATATATATTTATATATAATTAAAATTTAATATTAAAAATTATTATTTATAATCAGATTTGAATAATGAATACTCTAAATAGTAGTTTTAGTATTTGAATCCGACTATATATAATATCTTAATCTTCTTTAATTGGGTCGGGTAATACCCGTGCCCGATTATTCAAGTTGGGACACTTTCGTAGTATGAAAACTTAGGTTGGGCTTTAGCCCATAAAAGGTTGGGTTTGAGAAAAGCTTGGAGAGGCATTTTCTGGGGCCAGACCAGATTTTGAGGAAAAGAAGAGCAAAACCAAAGCTTGAAGCACATTTTAAGGGGGGAAGAAGAAACGAAAGAAGACACCTGTAAATTCAACTAGTTCTTCAGCGTTACAAAGAAAACACAGGTTTTCCTCTGTCGTTTCAAAGGGGGCGGAATCCGACGGTCTGAAATTTCAAAACTTTTGGCTAACTCGAGATCTGTTCTGGGAAGAGATAGAGATTAGAGAGTGATGACGGAGGTGGCGACGTCGACGGCGACGACGAAGGAACTGAGTCCCGACGAAGAGAGGGTTTTAATCAGAGACATCGCCATTACTGCCGAAGCTAACACTAAAGAAGGCGATTCCTTTTTTCTCATCACTCAAAAGTTAATACCCTTTTTTTTTCTCTATTTTTCTATATGAATTTTCAAATTTTTTAACTACTTCTGCTCTATGTCTTAACTCTCTTTTTCCGGGGTTTTGTTTTTGGTTAATTTTTGAACTAGATGGTGGCAACACTGGATTGATTATGTGAACCAAGAGCAGCAGCTGAATAATAACAACAACACCAACGAAGGAAGCTCTTCTTTGGCAGGGAATTCGGATTCACCTCGTTTGACTACTTTGAAAAGGCCTTCAGGGATTGATAATTCTGATTTGATATCAGATGGGCCTTCGGAGGACTCAAGCCCCGGCAGCGGTGTTGAGATTCATGATACTTTATTAGAAGGCCGTGACTATGTCTTACTACCTCAACAAGTTTGGAACCAGCTTTATTCATGGTTAGCTAGTTAGATATGGCTTCTTTGAATTATTTTTGGTATTTTGTCAAGGATTATTGCATGTTAAAACTTACTGGCCAGTTTGTGTAGGTAATTTGTTTCTAGTTAGCCAAACATATTAATGTAATAACTCAATGTTGAATCTCTTGTTAACAAGTAAATTTTCATTTGCCAAGTATGTGGGCAGGCTTATGGAGTTTTGAAACTCAATTGCTGGTTTGTAGGGTGATAATCGTTTTGTGAATTTATATCAACACTAAGCTGGAACAAGTTAACTGGACTTCTGCTAAGTATAGAAACCCGTATGTGGAGTTCTTAAATTCAACTGCTGATGTATAAGATAATAGTTGTTATGTTTAGTCCTATAAGCTTCGGCACTATGCTAAGCAAGTTTCTCTATGATGGATGCCCTAGTTCTAGCTACTAAGTTGAAGCTTTGATTACCAAAGAAGGTTCATTTGTGCGGTGATTGTGGCCATAGTTTGTTGTCATAGCTACTAAAGGCAGCCTTGAAAGGTTCATCTTTAGGAGTGATTGTGGCTATAATTATCGGAAAACATCATTCTTAGACGCTGAAGTATTGTACTTTTTCTTTTTACATTTTTATCACAAGTTAGCTTTGTAATTTTAAGAAATATTTGAAGTTGACATCATTTTGGGAGTTCCAATATATTCTTTTGTACAAGAGAAATTGTTTGTAAGCCTAGTTATTTCAGAGGTTTGAACCTATGACCTTAGCGCCGGAATCAAGGTTCAAGTTGATATCTGCATTTATTTATATAATTGTATACATCTATGTGTGTAATTATTTTTGTAATTTATATGTATACATTTATGCATTTGTTAGTATGATTGCCTGCCCTTCATACATTAGGTCCAGCATGCAAGTTTCTTGGGCCCTATTTAAATGTTTTATGGAATCCAAGGGTAAGATTCACTATTGATGTCAACAGAGCAGCTACTTTTTCTGAAACCCCTGATCAACTTTATGTTTTTTTTTTCTTTTTTGTATTTGCTTCTGTGGATAGGTCAATTTGTTTTTTGATACAAGGAAAGATAAAGAGGATATATGTAACCTGCCAAAACCATCTCAACCTCCATTCTTTCCATTCTTCTGAATTTGAAGTATTTGGATGAGATGAGAATGATCTCTCATTCAATTGTTTTTGATTGCTTAGACTAAATTACCCTTATATATGTATATCTCACTCAGAAAGGACATAATTATAGAAATAAATCAAACATTACCCCTTCCTTCCATAGTTAAACAAGGTCAGTACACATCCTTTTTCTTTCCTTCTGTTTAAATAATTCAAACGAGAGAAACGTTACCCCAACCCCACTAAGTCCTCCCCCTCTATTCCCTTCACTTTCTAGTTTATATGGTTTAGTGGTGGGAACTAATATGACTCTCTCTTTACCATGCTTATACACAATTTTATATTTGGCATGATTGTATAAAGAATGATTTGCAGTATTGCTATTAAATTTTCTGCATATGTTTCTTTTGGTCTTGTTTTTCCACATTTACCTATACATTTGGTGATATGTTGAGGAATCATTTAATCTCTTTTGGGTTCAGGTATGGTGGTGGTCCAACATTGTCACGGAAAGTAATTGATTCAGGTCTTTCTCAGACAGAGTTTGCTGTGGAGGTTTATCCACTGCGTCTGCAACTTCTTGTGACACCGAAAGGTGATCGCTCTACTATAAGAATAAGCAAGAAGGTATGATGTGAAACTCAGCTATGAGACAGGATTTCTTTCGGCTCTACTGCTGCTCTCATTGTACTTATTTAGAATAACTGCTTTCTGAAGACTAAATTATTTTGGACAGGAAACCATTGGTGAGCTTCACCGGCGAGCATGTGAGATTTTTTATCTCAACTTGGAACAAGTAATTTGCAGATGCAAGATTATTTCCTTTTCTGTTTTTCATTTTCCTAATTTTTTTCTTGTCAAGTTCTTTAGTAGTTTTATTTCCTTATTTTTTCAGGTTTGTATTTGGGATTACTATGGTCATCGGAAACATGCTTTGATGAATGATATGGATAAAACACTTGATGATGCCAACATACAGATGGATCAGGATGTGGGTCCTTTTTGCTGCACCACTTATTTATCATTTTACGACTACTATGTCTGTTATAAAGAAACCAGTTAAGCATCTGAAATTGGATTCTGCATTTGATGCATCTGCCTTATGTACAATTGTAAAATGGATGGAATTTTTAGGGAAAAAAAGTTTCATGCTTTTTGTTAATATCTAATTTGATTTCTAGAATTAAGATTTCTGCCAACTAAGCTAAAACAAATACATATCATTTCAGATTCAGAATTAGTGCTTCTTTCGCATATTACCATCCTTTTATGACAGTATTATTGCTCAATCTATCTATTAAACAAGCTCTCTTTGTCATCTATTGCCAGTTTCTATATTGTGTTGAATTGTGTCTTTGGAAGCTTCAGTCGCATTTTTCTCTGCTGTGAAGTTTAAGCCTTTATGCTGCAGTCAATGCAGGTGATGTTAGGAGCACAATCTTGGGTATCTATGGCCAAGTTTTTTCCTTGTGTTTGAGTTTTATGACTGATATTCTGTATGGTTGGTTAAGTTGGTCAAAGTCTATCAGTATGTACATACAGATAGTTGAGAATTCTTAGTTGCTTCTTTAAGAGGCTGATGAGGGGGCAAAAGTTTTATTCCCGTCATGGGTTAAATTCAATAATCTTTCTTGGATTATTTGTAGTCCCTCCTTTGTCATTGGAGCCATGGCTGTTCAATCTACACGTTACTTGATTGTCAAAATAAGGATGTTTTAGGATGGATATAGATGCCAAGGTGGAAATAATAGGTTATTGACCCACTAATTTGGTGGGTATTCTAATTTTGCTATCTTTGGGGCTTGCTACTTTTTCTTTAGTCCTTCGTTATGCATAATAATCTGGTACACTTTGTTCTTATTTGGGTGCATGGAAGGCACTATTCTTGATAAGAGCTTCTCTCTACAAGAAAGAGGAAGCATAAATTTGGAAAGAGGAAAGAAATTAGGTATCAAGTTTCAGCAAAAAAAATTGTTAATGGCATAAATAATTCTGGTGCACCTTTTGAGTTCTTGTAGCTGCTTTGAACCTAGAACCATAGACCACCATTAACCATGTCTGCACTATTTGGAGTTTAACATTGCTTAGACATGTTCAATGATTCCCATCGATGGACCTTTAGGATCACGGGTTTGTTTTATTTGTGCTTTTCTGCTGTGCTGTTTGTGTTCAGCAATAAGTGGATAGCCTCCTCGATATGTTTTCTTGGTGACCGCTGCATACTTTTGTTATCTATTTCTGAGGCATATCCACGTTTCACCCCCTTGGTTTTCATCAGGTCATTCTGGCAATAGCTGTTTCAGTGATGTACAGAATTATGTGGTTAGTTATTTATTATAACAATCAGTGCCTTTTAACTCACCTGGTAAAGGGATTTTCCCATCCCTCCATTCATGCATAAATGATATGTATGCCCACCCTTCTTGGACACATACAAATATGGACATAGATATCTGATAGAGCACAAAAATGGATATGTATTTGAGGATTTCTTGTTTTATTGTTAATTAGTAATCTTTTCATGTTCTAACCTATTGTTTTCTTGTGATCAATTTAAACAGATTTTGGTGGAGGTCCTTAACAATGTTAATGGTACTGAATTAAGTGGCGGTATAAGTTTTCCAGACAATGGATTTGCAGATAAGGAAGCTACTTCTGTACTTCTAGAGCCTTCTAAGTCAAGCTTATCAATTGCAGGAGGCCTGTCGGCAAACAAGATTGCATCCAGAGGTTATGGTGCAGAGCACATGCAAAGTCAGACCTTGAGTTATCCTGGTAGAGAGTTGGATAACACTTATGCGAACAGTGGTGTTATTACGAGGGGGGCTTCTGGTGGTTTGACTGGGCTGCTGAATCTTGGGAATACTTGCTTTATGAATAGTGCAATACAGTGCCTTGTTCATACACCAGAGTTTGCTAGATACTTCCGGGAAGACTATCATCAGGAGATAAATTGGCAAAACCCTTTGGGCATGGTTGTAAGTGTCTAACTTAAAAATAGATGTTATATGAGTAATCCTTATATGATCTGTTTTTGAGCTAGAACTTATTTTCTGTTCATCTATTTTGAAAACCATTATCTATGTAAATGTGTTGTTGCATGCATCTTGTTTTGGCTTGCTATAATTCTAGTTTGTAGAGAGATGTTTTGCTGTTGCCCTCAAAGCATTTACATTTATCTGTAACTGCTTTTGATATTTGAACAACATTTTTGGAGCATTCTCCATTTGACTAATTCAACTTTAATCCTATGGCGAAGTCCTCCTGACCTTTCCATCAAGGATAAGGGTCTAGGACACTGGCTGCCCAGTCGTATAGTGTTGAACTTTGGCCATTAGGTATTATTGTTCCTTGATTTTGCTCTTAACTTCTACTACTTTCACATTGTAAGGTTGTACGCATGGATGTTCATAGTCATCTCTATTTATTCATACTTTACGCCCTGGTTATTTGGAATCAATGCTAACAGCTCAAGGACTGATTAAGGTTAAAGGTGTTTTTTCCCATTGAAGATTTAAACTAATTGGGGACTATGGAAAATAATATATGTTTCCTTCGGAAAGATTTCAAATAACTGAAGAACCTTTTTATGTTACCTGGTACTAGTCAGTGAGCATTATAGGACACGGGTTTTGTTTGTGTAACCTGTCTTGCCTTGGTTCTGCACATCTTAGGGTTGTTATTTTAATAATTTTTGAGAAGTTTATATCAATTGAATAAGTATAGATATGTGCATAGAAGTATTGTGTCTGTTCTTTTCCTCTGATGAGCATGTATAGATGTTACATGAGTTCCTATATCTAGTATTATAAAGTGGAAAATAATATACTTTTCTTTAGGAAAGATTTCAAATAACTGAAGAACCTTTTTATGTTACCTGGTACTAGTCTGTGAGCATCATAGGACATGGGTTTTGTTTGTGTAACCTGTCTTTCCTTGGTTCTCCACATTCTAGGGTTTTTATTGTAATTATTTTTGGGGAGTTTGTATCAATTGATTAAGTATAGATATGCGTATAGAAATATTGTGTTTCTTCTTTTCCTTTGATGAGCATCTATAGATGTTATACGAGTTCCTGTATCTAGTATTATAAAGTTGCCTTCTTATTTTGTGGTTGAGGTATTCAGGGGACCAACAGTGTACAATATTATATTTTATAAGTGAATGTTAGAAATTGAGGTTTGCCAAGTTATTAACCCTAGCTGGCCAAAAGGAAAAAAATTATTCAACTCCAGGTTGTTCATGTTTGGAATGTTAATATGATCTACGATTGCTTTTCATTTTCGTGTGCCCTCCTTCAGATTTGTTGCTTGTAAAGGTTCTTGACTTATGTTAACCAGCAGTGTTCACAATTTGGTGGTTGTATCTGAAATTCAATTTTTATCTCTTAGATTGATGTCCATCAGATTAGGTTTCCAAATGTTGAATTAAATCCAGAATTTAGTGTCAAAACTAAAGTGAACTTGTATAATCTAATTAATTTTACATTTCAAATTATTGTGATATTTAGCATATTATGTAGATATGCTTAGTCTATTAGACTTGTGTTCATGAACTACTAGAGGCTTCTTGGCACATGCATGACCCACCTTTATGGAAAAGCATCTGCTCTCTGTAAGTTAGAGAAACATGGTAAGCAAATTGTAAGCGGTATATTTGTATCAAGCAAAATGCATAGTGTAGATTTGCACTTTCAAACAAACTGCTAGCATTTATTGAAAACTTAACATGTCAAGAAATGGTTGTTCAAGGCTTTGAAGATGCCAGACTCTTTATGGTTGATGCAGGAGAATTTAACATGCTTACATAAATGAGTCGTTGGAGCCGTACAACTCTGTCAACGAGTTTATTTGCAGTCATCATCTACATAATTTCTCCATTAATAGCTACTATAGTTAAACGCACAAGTAAACTTAGCAGAGCCTGTATGCATATTGTAAGATTGTGACAAAAATCATTATTGGACTCTAGCTCTAGCTTTCCTTCAACTTCCATCTCCTCCATATGAATGATCTCTCATTTCTTTCTCTTTGTAGTTGGGTTGTGAAGTTAGATCAAGTGCTCTTAGTTTTGCATGGTATTAAGTAGAGCAGTGCTATGTTTTGGAAGACTTGACTTTAAAATTGATAGATAAATGGAGCAACTCTATCTGTGGAGAAAAGTCGCACAGAAATTTTTTTTTTTTAAATTCTTATAAATAGCACTTGTATAACCTTTTTTGACAATCAGAAGATACTCATAAAAGAACTATAACATTTGAGCAAAACAAAGACACTCAACTGAGTGGTACCTTTCCTTTTCGAAAGGGTTCTCCCAGGAATCTAGGGCAGTCACCTCTAATAAGGATTGTAGCAGTTTCACCAATTCTTTGAGCTGATCATGCTTGCTGCCATGTGGTTCACTGCAAAGTGGTTATTTCAGGTTGATAATGATCACTTTGTGCTGAAAACTAATGGATTGATTGTGCTCGCTAGTATGTCAACCTGCTATGGTGTGTGTGTTGAGATGGTTGGGAATATTTGTAGGCAATGAACTGTACTGCCAAAAACTTTGTCCACATATAGTAATTATAGAGATAGCCATGTAGCTTTTCTAGTGTTATGTTTTATCTTATGCTGTTACATAACATAATCATTGTTTGGTTAAATGTGATTAAAGTGTGTGCTTCACAAAGCTCTTATCTTTTCTCTATCCACCCAAAAGCAGGTTTACTGTGTTACTTTATTGAAATGTCCCACTCTATGAGTAAGACCTTTGAATTATACCTCTCTTCTTACATATCAAAGCAAATATTATTTAGTCAGAATAGTGGAAAATATGTGCATTGACATTTTGCTAATATGTTTCAACTTTGGTGTTACTGGAATCAATTTGTTGTTGAAATCTCACATGTTTTTTCTTGAAGAGTTTAGTTTGGTTGTATAATTAATATGTTTATTAACTTCTAAGCTAATTGTTTCTTGTGTAGGGTGAGCTTGCTCTAGCATTTGGTGAGTTGCTGAGAAAGCTGTGGGCACCCGGACGAACACCAGTTGCACCGCGGCCCTTTAAAGCAAAGCTTGCCCGCTTTGCACCTCAATTTAGTGGATACAATCAGCATGACTCTCAGGTTTGTATTGGACATCAAGATCTTTCTAATCCATGCTTTGCTTATAGTTCATGCAAGCTTATCATTTTTAACTTTTATTTTCTCAGGAGCTTTTAGCATTTCTGCTTGATGGACTTCATGAGGATCTGAATCGTGTCAAACACAAACCTTATATAAATTCTAGAGATGCTGATGGCCGTCCAGATGAAGAAGTTGCTGATGAATATTGGGCAAATCATATTGCTCGTAATGATTCAATAATTGTTGACGTGTGCCAGGTGAGTAATGTCTTATACATTATAATATTGAATGCCAAACAGGAGTACAGGTGTCTTGCATGTCATGGTAAATCTCATAACTTTGATATTAACTGGAGATTTAAGTCAACATTTTCTTTAGTATTTCCCATATGTTCTTCCTTGAATAGGATGTATTATGCAGTACAATTTGAGTCAATGATAATTTGAAACTATTTGTTTAAGTCCTTCATTGAGAATGTTTAGTTTTAAAGTTTTTTGATGCACTTACCCTTGTCAGACACTGAGTATCATTAGTATTGAGATTCCATTGACCTTCTGTTGAAAAGTATTTACTAGAATTGTGAGATTCTCCCTAACACTTGCCAAATTACAATGGAGATGAGAATTCTAAAATGAGATGTTAATATTTATGATATGGAGCCTGATTATTTCAGTTAAATTTTAGAAGAAAGATATTATGGATGTAAGAGTTGAAAAAAAAAAAAAAACAGGAAAAAGGAAGAAATTCTTATTTTGCATATGTGTAACTTTTTTCCGAACTTCTTGAAGTTTGGTCCTCATAAAAAGGCTTGTAGTTCCTAAGCCTTGGAGAAAAGGAATTTATGAAACCATACCTTCTAGAATTGCTTTTTCTTGAATGCTTAAATATCTGTTCTTCTCATGCCAACTTATGAAATCGAGTGTCTACCATTTTTCTTCCCTGTTTTTAAATATTGAGTACACATGCTATATAGTTCATAACTTCAAATTATTGTATATACTTTGCACAAGTATAATTTCCAATTGCCTATATCCTTATTTCTAAAATATTCCTAATTTTTGGTCTCAAAGGACTGATGACATGTAGCTTTGTATCACCTACAAGAACTGAATATCAATGTTGCATTTATTGGAAGTGTACTCATTTCAAATCTATCCTCACACCTTGTAAATTTCAAAGCTGCAATAATAAAGAATAGAGTAAATTACAAGAACGTAATTGAGGTGATGTAGCAAAGCTGGGTGATTAGGGTGTCAAGGTCTGTTTTTTGGTTACTTCAGGGCAAAGCAGGTGTAGATTTACCAGAATATTTAGGGTTACTGTAGGATTAGTATCAGGTTGAAGCTGGGTGCAGAAGTCCGGGATTTAGATAGTTACTTATAGTCATCCATTGATGTGGTTTTTATAAGATGCATTTCATTTCAAATGACGATTTCATATTTTGGAATTGCCTCATTTTAGAAGACCTGAAAATGAGAACTAATTTGAAGAACGAGTCAAAGAAACAATCCTTATATATCTTTGATTTTGAAATGCTGAATTTTGAGTTGCTTCTTTTCAAAATGCTCCGCATGATATTAATACTGAATGATTTCTTTTAAACACAACCTTTTCCAAATGAAAGCTGAAGAAATTCGAATAAAGATAAGAAAAAGAAATTCCTAGGATTCACACTTAAGTTTCCCTACAATTTACACTGAAAGTATATTGCTTCAGGATTATTGCTAGAGCAATAATACTACAAAATCTCAACTTAAAGTTCTGTTTCACAATAGAAATATTACATTGATGCATAGACTCCTAGCACTTGTGGTCTAATAAGGACTTTAATAGATGCTTAGATTCCAACAAGGAAACCAATAAATTTGACTTAAAACGTTCCTAATTTATAAATAAAAACATAATGACTTCTGAAACTTAGAATAACACTTTTAGACTCAAAATTTGATGCTTCCACCAAGCAATAAAAGTATGAAAATACCGTGGCAGGCACGTGATCTCAGGAAAACAAAGGGAAAAAACTTGTCACGTTAACTTGAATAAACATAAAGATCCCAATACTTACTAATAAATCCTACTTGAGAACCCAACTACATTTCTCATCATCGGACAAAGGCAATTTTAGGCTTGGGCATCAAAAGTAGCCTTAGCACACCCTTCTTTTACCTTTGGAGAATGTAGGCAAGATGCTCCATCATTGAGGTTCATTGAAAATACATTTAGATTCTTAATTTTGATATATCTACCCTCGTCTCACTGGTGGAATACATTTAGATCCTTACAAGGTCAATTTCTGTCACTTACTTCCCTAAATCGTGTGTATGAAAAGCAGACTACAAATTTTGAAAAAAAAATAATTTTTTTTATACACTCTCAGGGCCTGGTATAATTCTTTTTTTCTTTTATATAGAGGGACTTATGTAATCAATCATAAATAAAATTGTTGTTCCATCTGATAGTGCTTTGTTGTTATCTTTGTTACTATTGTGTTAATATTAGCAAAATTAGGTGAATAAGATCGAAGCTGTGCTAATTCAGTTCTAATTCAACTTATCATTTTTTTTAATATTGGTACTATGATAATCATCTGTAAAAAGATAAACTGACCTTGGGTAAAATATTATGCCGTTTCATTGTTATTGTCATTATTATGCCTCTAATTCATGTCTACCTAATTTTGTAGGGTCAATACAAATCAACATTGGTTTGTCCTGTGTGCAACAAAGTTTCTGTAACATTTGATCCCTTCATGTACCTCTCCTTGCCACTCCAATTCACCATTACTAGGACCATGGCAATAACAGTTTTTACTTGTGATGGAAGTGCTCTACCCTCAACATGCACTGTGACTGTTCCGAAGCAGGGACGTTACAGGGACCTGATCCAAGCGCTTAGCAATGCTTGTTCCTTGAAGCAGACTGAGGAGATTAAGCTTGTCGAGGCATGTGCCATTAAACATTCTGATTTCCTATTCATGGAATCGTACATGTGTGCTAAATTTGGGCTCAGCTTTCTGAAATTGTTGCTTGCAGATACGAAATCATTTGATTCATAGGTTTTTAGATGATTCTTATATATCATTGTCCACAATCAAAGATGATGATCATCTTGCTGCATACAAGATTCAAAAGTCAGCGAAGGGCAATGCTTTTCTTCAGTTGATACATCGCTGTCAAGAAGAGTATGTACTATTTCCTAGACCTCATCCTAATTTTTAAATAGCAGCTGTATGTATGTTTTGCCTAACCTTGTACTAATTTTTAAATAGCGACATGTGAATATTGGCATGGCACCAAAAAGGTTTCCCTTGGATGCAAATTGAATTGGACTTGGAAGTTTTTGTCATTACTTGTTTTCACTGTTCGGTTAGCATTTGATGTGGTTGTTGTATGTTCTTTTTATTTGAATAGTTTTGTAGTGCTTACAGAAGTACCATTATTATTTCAGAAGTGTTTAATCTCTCTCTCTCTTTTTCTTTCACACAACATAAAAATTTTGCATATTATTTTTTTTATTTTGAATTAATTAATTCTAGACCAATTAGAAGATAATAGTTGCTACTGCTGCTTTTGTATGCTTGCTTTGAAGCTTAAACAGTTGCTTTATTGAGGTGTTTCTAATGTGATGCTTCATTTTATTGTTGTCTAGGGAAAGTAGTGATGCCCAAAGATGGAAACCTTTCGGAACTCCTCTCATTTCATCACTTTCATTTGATGATGTAATTGCAAGTGGTGATATACAGACAATTGTTCAGACAATGCTTGCTCCTTTGCTGAAAGAGGGTCTAGAATATGCCGATAATTCGGATCCAAGCACCTCTGTGGCAGCAACAGATCCATCTGATCATAGGTCTGGTGAGGTGGATACTAACCATGCATCAACGTCAGCAAATAAAAAGGTTTTACCAAAACTACCTCTTCAGTTGGTTGATGAAAGTATGACATGCATTGACCTGTCTGTGGGAGATGAGAAAGCTGTTAATCTGTCAGCATCATCGCCTATAGTAGTATATCTTGATTGGTCATCAAAGCTTTTGGAGAAGTACAATATGCATTACCTGGAGAACCTGCCTGAAGTGTTTAAATATGGGCCTATTACAAAGAAAGCTCGTACTGAACCTCTCTCTTTGTATACCTGCCTGGAGGCTTTTCTAAGAGAGGAGCCATTGGTTCCAGAAGATATGTGGTTAGTGTGTCTCTCACATTTTATTTATGTGCTTTTGTGTGTTTTCCATTCATAAATGCCCTTGAGCTCAAATGATGTGTAGATTTGCAGTTATGCTTTTTCATGATTCCTTGGTAGATATAAATGAAATTGATGGTGTTCCTGCCTAAGATAAACAATGTATACCATTGATGTGTTGTAGTTACCAAATAGTTTAATTTTAGAAAACAACAGAATGCTTTGTCTATTCCCAGTTTATTTTTTGAAGACTATCTTTGCTACACTTGAGCTATTTAATAGTTGTGATAGTTAATGAATAAGGATGCCGTCTTGTTCCCATTTGGGTGGTGATGTCTCCTTTAAGGAGTACCCTATTGAAGATGTGCCCTGAAAATGATTGACTTCTTCTTTTGTTTAACATAGGAGTGCTTGGCAAGCTCTATAAGTTAATTGGAATCCTTCTGTAATTTTGCAGAAAGGACTGTGCAAATAAGGGAGCAGATGTCTCTCATTTCTTTATATTATATTGTGTGTATTGTAACATCTTGTACTTAACTCTGAAAGCTCGGGAACATATCCCAGTTAGAAGATTCATACTTTGCAATTTGGTAACCTTAGTTTCAACTTCATTATTAATTATGCATGTGAATTAAGCCAATACTTACTGTTTGCTTGACAGTTTTAATGATCTTCTGTGTTAAACGTGTATTTAAGAATAAAAGGGGTTCCATTCCAGCAGTATTTGTGAATTATTAGTGTTTATTTGATGTAGGTACTGTCCACAATGCAAGGAACAACGGCAAGCAAGTAAAAAGCTTGATCTGTGGAGGCTCCCAGAAGTTCTAGTTATTCATCTGAAGAGATTCTCCTATAGCCGGTCAATGAAGCATAAACTAGAAACTTTTGTCAACTTTCCTGTTCATGACTTTGACTTAACAAATTATGTAGCTGACAAGAGAAGTTCCCGTTCTCAGCTCTATGACCTCTATGCCTTGATCAACCATTATGGTGGCATGGGCAGTGGCCACTACACTGCACATATTAAGGTAAGTCAGAAGCAGATGTGTCCTTGTTGAAATGGAATAACATGAACAAGTAAATAGAGGATGAAAAATGCTCTTCGCAATTGGTTTATGATTACAGAGTTGTGTATTATTTATATTTCTTTTGTGGGGTGGTGGCTTGGCCAGGGTTGTTATATCTGTTTCAATTTTTATAGTGAATTTTCAGTTGAGACTGTTTTTCTGCTCTTTCTTTCTGGGGTGAGACTTTAATAACATTTGAGTCCTTTCAGAAGTTTATGGCGTATTGATTATGCCAATCCTCTTAATTAGAGCTTAGATTTGAACTGGGACAATGATTGTTCCACAAATTGGCTGCTGTTATTGTTTATGCATATCTTACTTATCTCACCCTGTTTTATACTGTTTTGCTGTTTGCAGCTTCTAGATGAGAATAGGTGGTACAACTTTGATGACAGCCATATATCGCCTATAAATGAAGAAGATGTAAAGTCCGCTGCTGCCTATGTCCTATTTTATCGAAGGGTAAAGTCCGATGCCTCAGCTAGTAATGCTACAGGGTCTGGTAGAGTTCGTGACAAAACATCTTATAAACATTGAAGTTCAAGGCTGTGTATTCATTAGCATAGAGAATTGGTGTCCAAGGGCATGCATAAACCTTTTGCTGTCATGCATGAAGTTCATGATGTATCTGTGATCTTTACAAATTGATTGGCGATTTGCTCCATGTGTGACTTTATTATTCAATTGTTGACTGAGCAAAAAAATTTATGTGCCAAGAGTACCACAGTGCTTTAGTGCCAACTGCTCAGGTTGGCAGCAAACGAAGAGCAGCAAATTACAATTTGATCTGAAGTTTCTTTTCCCACCTTACAGAATAGATTCTGTGATAATGGTCATGTGCAAAGTGGACATGTATCATTTGGAGGAAGAATGTTGTATACTTAGGTGGATGATATTTTCTTCTATCTTTTAGGTCAGATATGAAAGCCTGAGGTATTTGTAGCCCCTTGACATGGGGATAACAAATCTTGCCATTTATATGCATTATAAATTTTGGAAGTTAGAAGGCCTGGATGTATGCAAAAAGCTGGTTTTTCTTTTTTTTTTTGGCAAAGTTAATTATAATTAAAGTTGCTTTGGAGTAGTGATAAATATAGATTAATGTTTGGGTAGAAATGTTGGATGTGTTCTGTATGGGTGATAACTGATAAGGCTAATAGGGTGAAAACTGATAAAGCTATGGTGGATGTGAATGGTCATGTTTGGTATATTTTGGTGATGTTTATATGATGGCAGATAAAAATACAGTGCTATTACATAATCCAATCAGGTCTTTTTGTCTGTCACATGATTTTCAAAAGTCATTAATAGGGTCACCAATGCTATAAGAGATGTTCCAACCATGGTTACTCTCCATTACAGACTAATCGATTGCTGACTCATTTGCTTATCATATCAGGCTGAGTCTTTTTGCCCAACGTATCACATCATGGAACAAGTCTTTCCCGACATAAGTTTCTCGACTTTGGTGCCGGAGTTGTTTGGTTTCTAGCTTTGTTTATCATTTGTTGCACCCTCTAGCTTTTACTCTAACCTTCTACCTAAAGCGTAGCTCTTGTTCCAGCAATGGAATAAATTAGATGGTTAGTTGACTTTTCCTTTGTCATCTTCTTCCTTAGCTACTTGCCCCATATAATATATTCTCTTGTTCCCATCTGAATTTCCTTGATAATTTATAGCATAAACAAATGAAGAAACTGTAGGCAAGCTGATGTCAATCCGCGTCCCTACTTCTCTCCCTCATCATTGATGATTTGTTTGTTTGAACAGACAAGGTGTGTTTCATCATTTGTTCCTTGCCCTGCAAATTCCCACGTCTCTCCCAACATCCATTTTCATTGAATTCCCATGGGACAGGAGAAAGGAAAACTATGCGATCAATATGAAATCCTGGACATCCTAGGAAGGGGAGGATTCTCAGTCGTGAGGAGAGGCATAAAGATCAAAACAGATGGGCAGAAAAGTAGTCAACAGGTAGCCATCAAGACACTAAAAAGATTTGGCACTTCAGCTTCAACCCCATCAGGGAGTTTTCGAGTCAGTGCTGAGAAGAGCATAGCTTCAATGGGATTACCAGCATGGAACCAGGTTTCCATCTCGGATGCCTTGTTAACCAATGAGATCTTGGTTATGAGAAAGATTGTGGAAAATGTTTCACCCCATCCAAACGTGATTGATCTCTATGATGTCTATGAGGACCAAAGTGGGGTGCACTTAGTGCTAGAGCTATGCTCAGGAGGGGAGTTGTTTGATCGGATTGTGGCTCAGGAAAGGTACTCGGAGGCTGGAGCTGCAGCTGTAGTTAGGCAGATCGCTCAAGGATTGGCAGCTCTTCACCAGGCTAACATTGTCCACAGGGATCTTAAGCCTGAGAATTGCCTCTTCTTAAGTAAAAGTGATGATTCTACATTGAAGATCATGGACTTCGGATTAAGTTCAGTGGAAGAGTTTACTGATCCAGTTGTTGGGTTATTTGGTTCTATAGATTATGTATCGCCAGAGGCTCTTTCTCAAGGCAAAATCACTTCCAAGAGTGACATGTGGTCTTTGGGAGTCATCTTATATATCTTGCTCTCTGGGTATGTCCCCATTTTTTCCCCCATATTTCTCTGAATTTTGTCCTGCTATAACATTCATTCAAGTTTTTGTTTTCTTGTTTAAATTTAGAGATATTGGTTAAGAATGTTTGACAGTCCAATTACTCCTAAAAAAAATGTTTAGTATCTCTAAGTTGTATATGAGTAGTCCAACTATTTTACTGTTGTACAAAATAATATTATTTGGATTAGTTATTTATCATCTTTTCGAGATCTCAATCAAGGAAAAATACCACATCAGTTGTCAAGCGATCATGTCTTCAAGCCATATAAATAGAAAATGACAAATAATATTAAGTTTGACTGTGATTAATTTTTCATTACAATTACAACTTATTTGATTAGGGTTAATGGTTTATTTGGATACAAAATCAAAACTTAAGAGCTCTTTTAGATATAATAAAAAAACAAGGGACTTAGTTAAAGAATGACCATAGATCAAGAGCTTTTTTATTATTTAAGTAAAAAAAAAAAAGAGTAAGAGGAAAATGTTAGCAATAGAAAAGAAAGGAAATGAAAAAGGAAAAGAGGAAGATAATAATAGAGATAAAAAAAGTGGAATAATAATAAAATTTTGTGAATTGTTTAAGAAAATTTAAATAAATTTTTTATTTTTATTATATTTAATTAAATTTTTATAGTTCTATTTTAATTGTTGTTAATCAAAATGTCATGTGGACGTAACAAAATGAAAAACTTTTATTTTTTTTATTAAGTTTAATCAAATCCTAATTGTTACTCTTTAAGCAAAAAAATCATATATTAACTAATAAATTAAATGTTTGAGTATCATTAATTATTAACGTTTATTTAATTTAAAATAAAAATAAACGATATTCTTGAATAGATCAAGAATGTTTTTAAACATTACACTAACTCGTATTTATTTCTAGTTTCTGGACTGACCTATGAAAACTGGTATCAATGCCATTGCCATGCTAAGATTTCTGACTTGATGAACTTGAGGATTTAAATTTCTGTATTCACAAGTGTCATATTCATCTATTACCTCGCAGGTATCCACCATTTATTGCTCGATCAAATCGCCAAAAACAGCAGATGATAATGGCTGTATGTTAATTCCATTCATTCCTTCTTGATGTTCATATGGTTATTCAGTTTTCACCCTTTGAAAGGAATAGTGATCTCTTCACGCAGGGGGATTATAATTTCGATGAGAGGACTTGGAAAAACATTTCTTCATCAGCAAAGCATTTGATTTCTAATCTGCTGCAAGTTGATCCTGACAGAAGACCAAGTGCTGAACAGGTATATGATCTGCATTCTTAATTATTTGAGCCTCTCAAAACAGTAGTTTATTGGTTAGTTTCTTTCTTCCAATCTCAAATTTAATATATATATATATATATATATATGCATGTATATCTTGAAACAGCTGCTGGCTCATCCATGGGTCATTGGAGATTCAGCCAAACAGGAACAAATGGATGCTGAGGTTGTGTCAAGACTGCAGAGTTTTAATGCACGCCGCAAACTACGAGCTGCAGCAATAGCTAGCGTGTTGAGCAGCAAGGTTTTGCTGAGAACAAAGAAGCTAAGGACTCTGCTAGGTTCCCATGACCTTACCAAGGAGGAAATTGACAACCTGAAGATGTATTTTAAGAACATGTGGGTATTCAACGCCAACTTTTCTTCATTTACCAGTTACCATGACTACCTGATTAACAGCTGTCAATTGCTGACAAACTGTTTACCAAGTATAGTTACTTTGTTTTCTTTGATTTCAAATTGATTGGAAAGTTCGTAGGATGAATTTTATTTGTTGTTGGCATCAAAGCAATCGATGATGATAACATTTTGATGGTAACATGCAGATGTGCTAAAGGTGACAATGCTACCCTACCTGAATTTGAAGAGGTGCTAAAAGCAATGAAAATGTCCTCACTACTCCCTCTGGCTACCCGTATCTTTGATCTATTCGACAGCAATCGTGATGGAACCGTTGACATGAGGGAAATAGTGTGTGGATTTTCCAGCCTTAGAAACTCCAAAGGAGATGATGCTCTCCGTTTGTGCTTTGAGGTGCACTCTTCTTTCTGTGTTTCAATGGACGTGATACATGCATAGACAAAACTGGCACACACGTTACTCACCCAACTGCAACATCTTCAATTTGAAAGAAAGTTCTAGCATATTAATTATCCATATGCCTAGATATTTCTTTTCACAACCTTCCATACAATTAACAGACCATGGGAAATGCTTTTGCTTAGTTTCTCACCAGCATTTTGCTTTCTTGGCTCTACAGATGTATGATACAGATCGATCTGGTTGCATTACAAAGGAAGAACTAGCATCAATGCTTAGAGTAAAGTCACTTCCCTCATCTTAAAAGAAGCTAGCATATGTTTTACAGTTGCATGCAATATATGAAATAACAATGATTTCATTCATCAGGCTTTGCCAGATGACTGTCTTCCACCGGATATAACAGAACCTGGAAAGTTAGACGAAATATTTGACCGGATGGATGCAAACAGTGATGGAAAGGTTACTTTCGATGAATTCAAAGCTGCCATGCAAAGAGACAGCTCCCTCCAAGACGTTGTCCTCTCTTCTCTTCGTCAGCAGTAGAATTCCCATCTTTTCCAACAGCATCAATTAGTTCAACAAGTTTAGTCCTTAATTCCAATCTTTCTATGGATATTCATGCTGTGGGGACTATATGTAGATTAGTTGATGAATGCTAGTACCATTTTGTAGCTCTTGCATAAGAAAAACAATTATTCATTATTTTGTCATTCCAGAGACATACTTGTTTATCCTCCAAAGGTTATGATAGTATTTGAGGAGGATGGGACAGCAGGATAATGAATGGAACAATGGTTTTAGGTTGTTGGCACGTGAAGGTTCTTTACATATTTCTCCAAGGATGATTATTCTTTAATGGATAAATGGGTATTATTTATGGTCAACGAATATAATGAGAACTGAAAAATCATGTCCAAGATAAGCTCGTGGATCTACACGGATGATCAAGCCGGTGTGGCTATCTGTCAATGTAGTGGCTTTAGTGGTGTAATGTGCAAGGTGTTCTTTTCTTTTATCAGGTCCCTTAGACTTGTTTTTGTTATGATGGCTCTTGCCACACCTTATGTATCCTACTTCTTGGATGCTAATAAAACTCATACTTGATTGAACAAAACAAAAAAGGAAAGTAAAATCAACTGCCTGCCCCTCCTGATCATAGCATAACCTTACAAGCCACCTCCATCCACTTTGACTTAGCTGCAATTGAAAACTAAGCATTACTATCTACTGAAAAATAGTATATTGGTTGTTGCCAACTACTACTTGTGGTGCTGCTTAACAGGTTTTGGGTTGAAGTCAGAGCCTATGCGTGCATTGATGTTCGGTTACAAGATAAACAGTGGAAAACAGAATAAAAAAAAAAATTGCTATACTTATTCATTCACCATAACATTCATCATCATTATATTGAATAATTTGAAGGCAAAAAACTTTAGATAAAATAAATTACTTGTAAGTAATCTAACATATTTACAATTTGAAACATTATCCACAGAAGAAAAAAATATAATAAGATTGGCAAGAAAAAAGCCTTGGGCTGTTCTACAATTTAGGATCTTGTATTCTTCGAAATCTTCAACTTATCATCTAATGAATTTCAGAGACCGTCTTCCCATCTTTAACCTTGATCATGGCAAAGCCAAGCTGTGATTCAGGTCCAACTCGAAATGACCAAATTTGTACAACTGCATCTGGCTTGAGAGTATCAGCATTGTTCTTGACGATTTGATTCCATTGAGTCTTGAAAACATATGCAAAGCTCCCTCCGATGAGCCACTTGGTCAAGTGCACTTTAGATACCTCAAGACATGGTTCTACCAATATAACATCCATTCCCTGATTATTCTTGAATTTTTCCTCCTCAGCTTCACTCAAAAACTTGCTCCTGACTTGTTTCAATGTCATTGACAAACGATTGTGCCCCGGATTCAAATCAGTAGGCTTTATGAACTTCTGTATAACCAGCTTTATGTCAGTCCCACCCCAAGTTTTCTGATAAATTCGATTAACTAAAACAATATAGCTGTAAGAGAGGCTCTTGAGTTACATCTGAAAGATTTAATATATACGTTCCTCTTAGAATTATTTTGGGGATTGAGGGGGTTTTGTGAGAAGTGAAAGTTAGCTTACAGGGTAATTAGATTTAAAATATTAAATCTGTAAGGAATGAAAAGGCCATTTTTTTCTCATTGCCCTACATATATATAGCTGAATGTGGCATATCAAGTGAAGCAATTATGAAAATTGATATCTGAATATATTCTACACTAATTAATTACGAAAAACAAGTGATTTATGATTTAAGTGTATTTATGTTGTTGAAGCTGAAATTGTAATTAACCTCTTTCTATAACCCTAAATGCATGTCATTTTTGTGTTCCTATAACTTATAAATCATTAATTTTGTTGTAAAGTGAATTGTGAAGCAGTATTAACCTCTTCTGAAGCCATCATGGATAGAGATATTGATCCAATCAAGAAAAATAATTGCCAAAGTAAGAGAAAGATAAGCTGGCATTGTGTTACTCAAGTTTTTGCCAAACTTGGAAGCATTGTTGTCATGGTATAATAGTCTTGTTGGCCAAACTTTGATTTATAAAACATTAATTCATATCAAATAGCTTTTTTTCTTGTTTAGAAAATTAATGTCTAGCTCCTGACCTTCATCTTGTTATATCACTTATGAATAAAAAAAATAATTATATATGAAATTATAATTTATAAATATCTTAATAACACATATTCATTGCAATGTATGTGACCAACTATACTAGTTACTTATTAAAAAGATATATTTTAATCATCTACCCCTTTCTATAGAATTTAAAAACTTCAATGTTGTTGTATCAAATAATAATAGTTTTGAAACATAAAGACTGCCACTAAATAAAAAATTAGAGAAATAGAAAAATCAATTAATACTTTAAATTTATATCAACCTTGCCATTTTCAATATAAAGTGTTTTTCATTTATTTTTTATTAAAAAATAAAACTAAAAGGGATAAAAAATACAAAAAATGATGAAATTTTAAGAAAGTTGTAAGTGATAATTCTCTTAAAAATTTTTAGGTAGGGAAGTTTTCTAAAGTTACTCAAAGTGTTGGAGAATTTAGAAAAATATCAATATCAAAGAATCTTCATTTACTTTTAAGAGAAATTTAAAAAATAATAAAACTAATAAAAAAAACAAGAAAGAAGAAAGGATTTAATGAAATGTTTTAATAAAATATTAAAATAAGTGATTTTTTTTGAATACTCTAGAGATGAGGAGACTCTTTTAGTTTTCACCAAAAGTGTTGGCAAAGTCTTGAAAAGTTTTAGATATTTAAATGATGGGTAAAATAATAAAAGGAAAAGAAAGAAAAAAAAATCCAATCTTCTAATTTGCAAAATTGACTTTATTTTTCTTAGTTCTCACTAATTTTGTTTTTATCCATTGTTTTCTTATTAACATTTTGATTTTCTTTTATTTTTCTTATTACATTATTCTTACTTAATGTTTGGGCACTTAGGATAGGAGTTGATGAGACAGACGGCCAGCTTTTGGGTAAGACAACCCAAAGCTTTAAACCCCAAATTTAAGGATAATTTTATAATAATCATAATATAATTAATCATATTAAAAATATATTAAAATTAAGATAATTAATAAAATATTTAACTATTCTCAAATATCTATTTTCGCTCACTTCCTCATCTTTATTAATTTTCAACTATTTTTTTTTCATTAAAAATATGTAAAAGTAAAAAATAATTACTAAAATAATATATTTCCTTATTTTCCTAATGATGTGCGTAATAAATCTAAATTTTTATCAATCCCCAATTGTTATAATGCTATTAACTCTCAACTATTTCTCTTATGTCCAATCAACTAGCTGTAATATGGATTTGCATCTACTATATTCTTCTAAAGAAATTGCATCTAAAATGAATATAGAACCTAAATTCTGTAATACACATGTCATTCACAGAAAAAAAAAGACAATTTGAGAAGAATGTTGATATTTTCACTGTGCATTGTTGCCTTTGTTCTATTTAATATCTTGGGTTCCTATGGCTTTAGAAATGGGGTAATGTCTCTTTGTTTTTCTCTGAAGGAGTTTATGTAATGGTGCCATAATGGACAAGCCATTGTCATTTTCTGCAGATTTGGCTCTCTGTTTATGTGATTACTGCTATGCCATTGTCAATGGACTTTTAAGGCCTCTGTGTTCATGTTGGTTTAGGGTGGCTCAGGGCTTTGTGCCTCTTGAGGGATGTCTTCACATCCTCTTTCCAGGGTCGTTGTGTTTAATTCAACGGCAGCTAAGTATGACCTTTTCCAACAAAATTGTCTCCTTCTTACACCCTACTCCAACATGGTTATGTATATATTTAGGTTAGAAAAGATGGAAGAGCACATTCAATTGGAGGTAAAACATCATTCATTTCACTAAGCATAAAATTCATGGTGCCAGAATTAAATGGCATAAGGGGAACTATTTTTAAAAAGAAATTGACCTTTTTTTTTTGTTTTGGGATGCACCATAGACTTTTATGCATCAATCATTGAGGAAAGAAAAACTTATTTAGGATCTCTTACATCTCTTTGAGTGCTTAATTAATAACAACAAATCACGTGTTTAAAGTTGTTGACATTTACCAGCTATATTTGGTTTGGTCAACAATTTTAATCACTTAACTTATTTCTATCGAACAACTTAAGAGCATTGAGATAATTTAGGTTCTACCCAAAAAAGAAAAATTAATCTATTTATTTTTGAGGATACAATAGTAAACTCTCTTCTTCTACCAAGATGAAAGAGGAGGGATGCTTTGTTCATGCTTGAAGAAATTCTCAAGATCAACCAATGTCTTCACATACACCAACTTATTGAAGTTATTCTTAAAATATTTAAAACCCCAAATGCTAACTTGTGCATAGCTTGTATTGCCTTTGTTATTAACTCCAATATCCAGATCCCTATAATTGACATATGCTTCTCGAGGAGATTTTGAAACGTAGGGAGTCATGTAACGATAAAATCTCCTAATCCAATTTATGTACTTTTGAAATTCCAAATTTTCTTCTTGAGCTCGAGCACCCCTAACATTTGATAATATGTTTTTTATGACGCACCGTAACCCCACCATTTTTGACTTTGGTGAGGGGTCCGTGCGTTCGCTTGGTGTGGAGCTCTCGGGTGCAAATCGAAAACAAAGAAAGGAGAGAGGAGAGGGCTACCTTTGGAGGGCTCGGATCTCTCTCCGGTGAGGGAGGTGATTCTCACAGCCTGCGGATCCTTGCACGGCGTGTTGAGGCGAGCTTGGAGAGCCCGGTCTTGGGCAGTGGTGTTGCCGGACGGCGGGATTCCGGCGACCGAAACTTGGAGAGCTCGGTTTCACCAATCCGGGAGGTATTTCAAGCGACGGTTGGCGCGGAGAGCACCGCAAGGAGGAGGCTAACGCATCAGTTCTGGTCGCGTTGGTTTTGGTCGAGTTTGAACGAAAACCAGTTCCCGGAGAAGACGACCGGTGACCGGATTCCGGCAAACTCCGGCGACCGACCCGGATTTCGACGGGGATGCTACCCCGGGGATTTTGACGCGCTGCGGTTCAACGGCGACGTCGGTTTCGTCATCCGACGCACGGTTTTGGAGATACGGACAGCGGACTTCCGAGGCGCATTTCGGGCCGTCAGGAAGTCGGAAGTGATCGCGGATTGCACGTACGCGATCACAGGAGCATCGAGCACGCATCTGGAGCACAGACGGGTGGTGGCGGGCGCATTCCTGTCAGAGCGATATTTCGGGATTTGTGCGGGCCCACTTTGTGTTCACTATTTCGCATTGTATTTCCCGAACAACATTTATTCATTGTGTGACTAGTTTCCGCACTTAGTTGCATTGTATTTCTCAGAGCGGTTTTCGACGATCGATGTGTTGGTGCAAGTGAAAAGACACACACCCAACAAAGTGGTATCAGAGCCTTCAGTTGACGCTCAGAGTGGATTGGTAGAGCATGGCTTCTCGGAGTTCTGTGGAGGACCGTGTGGAACGGTTCAACGCGCAGAGGCAACTTCACTCTATGGCAGTTGAGGATCCGGGACGAGCTTGCGAAAGCTCGGGTGACCGGCGTGCTTTCAGGCACGAAACCAGCTACGATGGATCAGGCTGATTGGACGGATCTTGATGCCGCGGCTATGGGCATCATCCGTTTATTCTTGCGGACGAGGTTGTGTACGATGTGGCTTCGCTCACCACAGCGAAGACACTTTGGGAGAAGCTGGAGCAACTCTACATGGGGAAGACGATCACAACAAAACTGATGTTGATGCGAAAGTATTACGGTATGCGGATGCGTGAGGGAGGAGACTTGCGCACACACATCGCCAACTTCAACCAGATTCTCGGTGATTTGGGGAAGATTGGCGTCAAGCCAGGAGATGATGACCGATCTATGTGCTTTTGTGCTCGCTACGGACTCATACGATCATTTGGTGACAACTCTTATCCAGGGGAAAGAATCGTTGCAGTATGAGGAGATTATGACTACGCTTCGCGACCAGGAGACTTGGGGTCGCTTGAAGCATGAGAGTCGGACGCGTACTACACTAGTACGTCGACAACTGGCCAGGGGAGAGGCCAACGGAGACGAGGGCGCGGCGATCGTGGACGTGGAGATCGCGACGCAGAGATGGTAGCCGAGAGCGAGGCAAGGGGAAGGGGAAGACTTCCCCTAACCGATATACATGCTACTGATGCGGGAAGCAGGGACACATCAGGAGACATTGTCCGGAGCGCAGTGGCCGGTCAGATGTGTCGGAGTCGGATGTTAGTGATGCAGAGGGACATGCCACCACACATATTCAGGTCAGAGAGAGGCGCTGACCATTGGCGAGGTGGCAGGCAGTGATGACTGGATTATGGACTCTGCATGTACGAAGCACTATACCTTTGATAGGAGTGTTTTCATTGATTATCATCCAGTCGCATCAGGTACGGTTTCGCTCGGTGACGGTACTCAGTGTGCTATTGAGGGGATTGGCAGTGCCAGATTTCGGTTACACGATGGTGCCATCAGGATCATCAGGGACATATATTTTGTTCCGACGCTTCGCAGGAACCTGGTATCTTTGGGGACCCTCGACAGAGACGGTTACGGGTTCCGCGGGCGAGCTGGAGTTATGCTCGTGAGTAGAGGCGCCATGACGATGATGAGGGCGAGGTTGTGCGTCAACAACCTCTATGCTTTGGATGGCAAGGCTCTACCGTCGGAGGAGATGTCAGTTGCGACACATTCCGTTGACCAGGCAGTCCTTTGGCACATGCGGTTGGGGCATGTCGGTGATCAGGGATTGCGAGCGCTGCACCAGAGAGGCTTGTTGCCAGGTATCAGGAGTTGTGAGATACCTTTGTGCCAGCACTGTGTGATGGGGAAGCAGCAGCGTGTGAGCTTCCGGACATCACGATATCGCAGCACAGAGAGGTTGCAGCTGATCCACACAGATGTATACGGGCCCACACCGTCTCATTCTATTGGAGGGGCCCGATACTTTGTGACGTTTATTGATGACTTCTCTCGCCGCGTGTGGGTATACATCATGAGAGAGAAGTCACAGGTCTTCGCCATATTCAGAGAGTGGCTCGCCGGAGTTGAGACGGAGACAGGAATGCGTGTCAGA